TCTCTCTCTCTCTCTCTCTCTCTCTCTCTCTCTCTCTCTCTCTCTCTTTCTCTCTCTTTTTCTCTTTCTCTCGGCAGCCGCGTAATATAAATAAATGAATAAAATCCTCTCGTAATCCGTATCAGATTGTATCTCGTAACAGGAGAGCGCATCCCGGTTTGAAATATTGATCTGGTCGAATTGCGGTGTTCTATCAAAATACATTAAAAGGACAGGCGGTTTCCCCGTCCCCCTTTTCCTCTTCTCCCATCGTCGAGAGATATATTGAAAGTAATGTCACTGTGACACTTCCGGCCTGCTCGATCGATTCGAAATATCCAATGACAAAAGTAAAATGATCCCGTCCGAAAGAAGGACCCACGTTACGTTGACGTGCAGAATCTTTCCCGCGTGTACGAGTGCTGCACTTTTCGTATTAAAATTGTAATGCCTCGCGAAATTGAAAAGCGTTTATTTTACACAAATTTACTTTTTATTCCTTTCGCGTTCATTACGTCGCGTTTACGATACGTAAATATTTGCCGGTAAAAATCGCTTTATTGCATGTGGCGTTTTAATTGCGCGCCGTTTCATAGAACTTCGTGCAAACTATATACGTAATTTTTTTTAAACGTACGCATGAAGATTAAACAATTGTATGTGAAATAATGACGGGACTGCTCGTGCATTATTGGCAGGCAGAGAAATTTCTCTCTTTAGATACAATTAATTGGAATGTTCATGTATTGTAATTTCCGTGGGATTGTCGATTGCTGATTTTACGCGCGTTAATATGAATAATGACGCGTGTTGTTTATCACACTTAATTATTTATTATATATATTTTAGCAATTTATTACTTTATTATAATCCGGTTATTTGAACAATCCAACATTTATTGTTATAATCGAAAATTTTTACTTTGGAATTAATTTATTTATTTATATTTAAGCGCGATATATTTGATTTAAATTATTAAATGGCCACAAATGCAACAACAAAATTGTGTCCTACAATCCTATGAAAATCGGAATACTTGGCAATTCTGCGTCCGACATTGAATATACCTAACAATTTATATCACGTTATTCACGTAGCACGTACTGTTTCGATATGTTAATTAAACTGTTCTGTAATTTTTTGAAGATACGCATTTTACACGCATCCAAAAGATTTAAAGCATTCAGTTAGAAAAATGAAAAATTTTATTCTAACCAATGGCGCATGCAATCCGCTAGCGGAACCATTCCTTTGCACAAAAATGTTATTGGAAAGCTTTGTTCTCAGTGAAAGCTGCCAGCTTTGCAATTGCATCTAGCTGAAATTGGTAGTCTTTTTTTCGATTTTTGCGAAATTGTTCCAATTTTGTAAAATCCCTTGTGCTCTTATATTCAAATCGCAGTTTCGTTTCAAATTATGTGAATCTAACTTATTGATTCTTGAATATTGTTAGCCAATATCATTTTATTAATTTTACTAATTATATATCATTTTATTAATTTTTATATATGTATATAACGGAAGTTATGAGAGTTTAATATCATCTTGTATAAATCGATAAGCGCAACAACAGATATAATTTCCTTCATGCGTTCGTTTTGTCAAAGTTCTATATCGGCGTCGTCTAATATAACATAGAAGACGTTCGGCGAAGCTTGTGCGAGGAGATAGAACACGTTGGCCGTCTCGTGCGAGTAGCCTTGTATATTGGAGATGAAAAATTCATGGGGCTCGATGCAACGTCGAATCTTGGGTATTTATTTCATGTAAGATACACGAGCCCGTATTTTCCTCTCTCGCGGCACACGTTGTCGCATAGTAACGACGCTTAATTCTTCGGCGAAAACGCGTACAAGACAAATAAATTTTTCACATAAACAGTCTACTTTTTTAAATAAAAATTTCAATTTTTTATTTCAATTAAGTTACACGCAAGTTTTATCTTGTATCTATTCGAAATTAGTATAAAATAATTTTTTTTTAGATATTATTTACACAATCTATTTCTCAATAAAAACTTTCATTTAATTAATTTGCATGCAAGTATTTACATAAATTAATCAAATTAAATTTCTTCATTATACTCTATATGTTTATATCTGTTTGAAATTAATTACGTTTATTTAAGTTTTTTCTTATACTATAAGGTATTTAAACTTTGAAAAAGTTATACGCGGTCCTGAATTTTTTATAAATATTTTCTGAAGATATGAATTTTACATTCATATTTTTCTATTTCTCTGATATAGAATCAGAATTTATAAAAGTTAAAAGCAATAAAAAATAATAGGTTTGATATACGAGTTGCTTGACGAGTTGTTAATTGAAAAAAAGGGAATTTGTTAAACAATATCGTTAAAATTATGGCCCGTTGACGTGAAATTTTATTTTTAGCTGACTGCGCCAATAACTCGATGAGGCGACTGTGTAAAATTAATGGCATACAGTACATACAGATTGGAGGCGATATCTGGAGGAGTATCGATTATCACACCGGTACAAATTGGGAGATAATTGGCTGTGTCAGCTTGCGCGCACCGGTCTGGTTTCCCGACTGGACAATATCGCGCAACGGGAATTTAATAAAGCTCCGACTTGGACACTGCGCGTAGGACGTGGCTGAAAGAAATAGACGTGGAGCGTGTCTAGCATGCACAGGACCTTCTTTCCTTCGTTTTTGTCCTATCACCTAGCCGCCGCATTTCCCAACTCTTCTTCCTCGGCGACTCTCCCTCTCTCTCCCCCCTTCGTTTTCTTTACATTTTTTCCGTGAATGAAGTCCGTTTTTAAACTTTATTTCCGAAGTGAAAGCTATCAAAAAGCGTTATACATATAACGCTTGAGGATTTCTTTCTCATTTTATTCATAAATTATATTTAAGAGAGAGTCAGGTAAAGCTTTTTGTTCTATTTCTTTATTATATTTGACTACTTAGACAAGAAATAAAATTATAGAATCTTCTTATATATTTTATAACTATTGATGTTAGATAAAAAGGTTCCTAAAATTTATACGAAATTTTTTATATCAAATTTGCACATTATTGAGTCCTGCTAGTAAATTTGTCCTTTTCTTATCGTATTTTATTAGAACTTCTTGAAAAATATTTCAGATGCGTAGAAAGAATACTCAGTTACATTTTGCATTGCACATATTAATCTGTTATTAAAATTTTCATTTTGTTTTGCATATGCAATTCCATATTATGTAAATAAAAATGTATTAATTAAAAATAATACTGCAAATTATCTCCCAATTTGTACCGGCATAATAATAATTGGTATTACTGCATGTTTTTCTGCTGAAAATGATATAACTATATTTTGAGAGAATTTATGAAACGCAAAAGACATTAAATATGAGAAAAAAATCACGCAATTATTTTAATTTAAGAATAACTATTGTTTCACGAATATTAACAATTTTCAAAAATATTAACTTTTATCTGCTTGTTGCCAGTTGGTTAATTGAAAAAAAATCATATCTTTACAGGAGATTCAGGGAAAAATTATGATGTTAAAAAGAACTTTAATAGAAATTAAAATGTTATCGCATTATTTATTTGTTTATTGCCTTAACAGGAAGAGACTAAAATATCAGTTCTTGAAATTTGCGCATATTCACGAAATTAATAGATACAACCCGGAATTTCGCAGGCGAAATCTTAGGCGTCAACATATATGTTAAAAGAAAGAATATATTTCATTTAGCGACGGATACTCTGTGTGTGTACGTCATACAAATTCTCGACAATTACTCGACTTACAACGCACACAAAAAAATTAGATCGTACATATATATCTAAACTGTGTATTGATTACAATCTTTAATATATACATTTTATTACATATGTACAGGGATGATTAGAATTATATTTATCGCGTCAAAAAATTGCTTTTACAGGATGTGTCATAAGTAAACTTCACGCTATTAATAATACTTCAGTAGTCAGTACTATTTCCAATTTGATGGAATTAATTCGAAAGTCATTGATTTGATTAGAACTAATCCCACAAGTCTTCTATATATTTTTCCACTTTTTGTTTCACTATTTCCTTATTTAGTGCATTAAATCTAAAATACGTGTATTCATAAAATACGTGCTTTCATTTTCGAGTTCTCTACGGAAATAAATAGCAAAAGATAATTTTCTGCATTACCCTGGATAATTATACGAAATATCATGAAATATCATTTGAGATTTTTATACTATAGCATCAAAGAAAATGTTGTCTTGTGTAGTTTGTCACTTGCGATAATATTATACACTTAAATTCCTTTGCATATCATAGTATCACAGAAAATGTACTATGCAGTATTTTATACATATATACTGCTGAGATTTTTTTCACAAATTAACGTAGAGTAATTTTTCTAATAATTATGGTAACTGCAAATTATACATAAAAACGGTTTTATTGTCTTTAACCAATTATTTATATAACGATTTTAATCATTTACATTAATATAAAGTTCAGACATGCTTGTTTATATACATTGATAGTCCTAGCATTTCTGTAAAAAATAAAATATAATAACTAATTTTTTAATGTTAATAGTGACTGTGTGGACGAGATTGAGCAAGCGTATTGCGATAAATTGTTAATTCATAAATGGAAAAGTTGTCAAATAATCGATACAAAAACGTTTTACAGTTTACGTTTTATGAACTTTGTCTTTGCGAAGTTTTGCTGATTTCATTTAACATGCATATAGATATCTCCATGGTAAAAGAAAGTGATATTCTTCGGTCATATAGTTAATGAGATGAACAATAAAATTACATTTATATATATATAAGTCTTGCGTAATTTAGATATCAATAATATTTTAGATTATTGATAAAAGATCTAGAGTTTGGAAGGCAGGTGGTAATACTAACAGTAATTTTTTAAAAACGTGTGAGGAGAGAGAAGACGAACAATATACTAGTAATACAGTAAGTTATAACTAAAACAAACCTATTACGTGATCATTATAATAAAAAAATGAAAAGTAAATTTTATTGATAAATTATCAATAAAATTATTTCAATAATCTCTGGTATCACGATTACGATTATCTGACGAATCACATGATATTTCATCTGTATGTTTGTTTCTAAACAGTGCAGACTCGATCACATTTCTAGAATTTAAGCGTATTTGCGCGTAGCTCTTTAAGTTTTCTCTTTTTCGGAAGGCAATATGTTATATATTTAATTATTGTTTGGTCTAGAAATAATCGTATATTGCTCGTTTTACACTGACACTTCATTTGTATTTCTATCGTTAGAATTGTCGCATTTGCAAAGTTCTGTTGCCTCGCCTGTACATTTTGACGGACAACCGTCTTTTATCGCCTCTGGTTTTATCTCGATATCGTAAATATTAGTTTTCGGCGGCGGTTGCTCGTATTTGCATATCACAGCATACATATCGCCACCTAAACGAAGCGCCAGCCACTGATTCTTTACGACCGCCAATTTCAGACACTCGCATTTCATTTTAGCATGAAAATTCGTATGCAAAGTTCTACCCATTCCTTCGATGACTATAAGATCCACGTTGTGTTTCACCATTGCAAGGCATAGATCCAAATTCAGACGGCTATTAAATGTTGAAATAATATTAGTGAATTAACATCATTGATATATATATATATATTAAATTATAACACAGCTTTTATATTACAAGTAAAATAATAACTTGTAATTGTAGCTGTGAAATATTCTGTATATATTCGGTATATAACAAATACCTGAGATCCAGACAAGGACCTGCTTGCGCAGTTTCCATAGCAATAAGAGTATTATCTTCTAGAGCCTGTTTGATAACATTACAGATTTTCGCGGCGTCCCGTAACGTGACGACTAATTCAGGATATGTTACGTCATTCAGAGCTGGCATAGAATTAGCGCACAATATTACCTAGAAGCATAAAAAAATAAATAATTTTAATGTTTAATAAATTCGTTTTTTTAAAAGCAATTTGAAAAAGCTTGATGCAAATATGAAAAACGTTAGTAAAACTAACTTTAGTCCCCCGTTGCAATAAATCTCGCGCAAATGGCAGGATTCCAAGAACTACATCTACGCCGCTATTATCAACAAAGATGGCTGCACATTTGTGAGGTGGTCCATTCTGTAATCTGTGTATCCAGTCATCTAAATTATCCTCCAGCCATGGCCTACCTGTGTTTTCGTGATAGAATATTATTCATAAAATTCTTTTAAAATGTACTAAAAGTTAGGAAGAATTTATTGGAAAATAAATCTCACCAATACTGTTACAATACTAATTTTTTATTTAATGACGGTGGTTTACCTGGAATTTTCGCTTGAGCTTCTTCAAAGCCAAAATCATCGGTTTCCAATAGCTTTGCAACATCTTTTGCACCCCAATCAAATATATTACCACTGAGAACGCCAAGAATCAAAGCTTTTATTTTTTCTGCACCTTCTAGCTTGTCTAGAGCAGTTATACGATCATGTAGGTGTGTCAATGCTTCTTCGTTCTCCTTTCTTTTTTGCTGCAAATGAAGTATTACGGTGTGACATATAAATTTCATTTAGATATGTTTATTTCAAAAATTCTAAAGAAACAGACAAAGATACCTACATGTAAATACGGATCTGGAAAATCGAATTCTTTCATGCAATGCTCGATGGTATCCAATAATATTCTAACTGTAAGTGCTCCATATGCACTGCAAGTTTGTATTACAAATTAATAACTCAATAAATAAGTAAATAGGTTTTTTACGCGCGCGGTTAATCTTAGTATTTATCACAGCGACGAAAAACTTACAACGGTTGCGCGTGAAGATAGTGTAATCTATTAATGTATTTCTCCTTTAGTTTTAATCCTCTATCTTTCGCCGTCGGACTGTGCGGTTGACTGTGAATAGCTCTCGACACAAATTTATCCACAGACTCTTCAAAACATTGCAGCCAATAGTCTCTATAAACATAAACGTTATAATTTTTTACGTTTGCATAATCGTAATCTTGGAAATTAAAATCGTAATCTTTGAAAGTCTCACCTTGCCTCTTTATCCTGAGCCAGATCTGTGGTATCAGGATTGTAAGATGCGGGATCTTTCAATAGGGGACAGAATGTAACAGCGTATTCTGCTTGATCAATTTCCAGTTGATCGATTTTAATTCCGAGATCGGTTGACACGGAATCTTTAAAACTCGATGACCCGGCGTAATTTTCCAACCAGCTGTATTTGTCTGTCTGTTCGGTACCGTACAAATATGCCCCAATCGCGCCAAGGTAACCTTCATGGCGAAGAAAGAGAGGCGTTACCTTATCCTAAATAATAGATATGTGACAAAAATATAAATTTTATACAAATGCACAATTTTTTTACGCATAAACATCTTGCGCTTTGACGTTTAGCTAATTGCATAAAATTACTTGATTCGAGGATATAATTGAATCTATCGAGAAAACACACATTGTAAAAGAGTGAGAGAAAGTAAACATAAAGACTAACATGAGACCAATATTTGATAGAATATGAGATGGTGTGCATTGATAGTGGATGGTTACGAAGGAAATAACCACCAAAGTAAACCTTGTCCATATTGTAAACGGTTGCATACAAACTAGCTATATGTCCAATATCATTGCTAATAGTGAACAGTAAGCTCCTTGCAAGATCAGCTTCAGAAAATTTTGGCTGCCCTAGAATGTTATTAATATAATTAATATCTAAAACTGTTAGTACAGATTTTTATAGCTGCTAAATTTTTTCACGCTTTCCAATTGTGCAAAAAAGAATCTTGTTATATAAAGATTGATTCGTAAAATTATATTGAAATCCACTTGTTACTAAAAACTTATTAATAATTTGATAGACAGAATTAAAAAATTATTAAAAATCAATTTTAATTTGATTTTAAACAGATGTTTAAAAAGAATGTACCAGAGAGGTATATATGAGTAATTTTTTCAATTATTTTAATATCAAATCCTCCCTCCGTAATAAATCATGATGTAAATTGTTATGCTTACCACAAGCCACCGCTTTGCCAAAAGATGACGCGATAAGTTCTCCAGATAAACCTTGGGAGGAATAATCGCCTCCATAAATATCTTTCACTAACATATCTACATTACGGTGATCTCCTCGTTCTGCAAGTTGCAGCAATTCGTCAAAGTCCTAGTAGGGTGTTTTTAAAGTCATTGTTTTAATACACATATCTATATATACAATTCACACGACTCAATGGTACTACGATGGAGCAGAATCTTCTCATATAATAATTAATTTTATCATAAATTTATTTCTAGATATTTATAAAGATTAAACATAATCCACATCCAAATAAAGATATCAATTAACGTACAATTGTTTTAACAGTAGTAAAAAGAAATTATGGGTGTAATATAGGAAATTATATAAATTCCATACCTTTCTTTTCGTAAGTAATGATCCCAATCCCCAAAAGGTACCGCCTCCTGTAGCTGTACCTCCGACTCTTTCAAATACCTCATCTGATTCCACCTATAAAATAAAATGTTAAAATAAGTAAATCTAATTAATAGAAAAGTCAATTCTCGTTATAAGCTAAGCTATGTGAGAAGGTCAACGGCCAAAATATGAGCGAAATAAGAAAGTTGGTTTAAAATAACATCTAGTCTTTATTTACAACGGTATATTAAAAACAATTTAAACGTCCTTGTTTTGCTCGTATTTTGGCTGATGATCTAATAAGTAAATCTATCTAGAATAACTTATTACTAACAATAAATAAATTTACTAAATATTTACTGCTTACTTTAAGAATACTGACGCCACTACCAACATTAACCAGCAAATATGGAAATATGTTAGGTCCAGCTTTTTGAAATTTATACTCTGGATTCGCATGTCGGTGGTACTCAAACGCTTCGCACGGTATATTTTTAAGCAAGAAATTACAACCTTTTATCAGACAGTCTATTTCATCTTCCTTGTCGACTCTAGAATGTTATCTTATCATTATCAATCAGTAAACACAATTTCTGAAGAACTCGAAGAGTGTATCAAAAATTGAACAACATGACGATGAGATCTTTCATGTTATACTTGATATTGAAAATTTGAACAAAGGACAAACGAAGTTCAAAATGCAAGAGTATACTTACAATAATCCTAATTTTTCTTGTAGCAATGGGGTATACTTGAACGCTCCACCTCCAGTAACTTTAATACTTTTCCCACGAAATCGTTCAACGTCCACTAAATTCTTCTTGACAAAGTCTAAGCAGTTTTCGATATATCTAGTCTCAAACTTAACAAAATGCAGTCTGTTACCCTCGAATACTTTATATGCTCGTTCTCCACTGTTCCCTAAACCTTCCGCATCCTCATAAAGTGCCTTGCGATAACTTACTGTTGAGTAATAGGCAATTTTGGTTAACGACAATCCTGAAACAATACATAATACACAATATTATAATATATCTAAATTCAGACAAGGTGCAATAAAAATAACCTAAAAACTATAAATAATAATAACTTAATAAACTTGGTGATAAACTTTATTACGTGATGTTACGTAATAGACAAACAGTATCGTAAATATATTTCTCATGAAAATTTATGTCTTATACATTATATATAATATAATATTACTCCAATATGAATATTTTCCGATTTACTCCTTTTTTTCTAATCATGACGAAGTCAGATTAAACTTGTTCAAACAATATAATTGCCTAAAGTAATACGCAAAATAATTCTTTTATAAGCATAAGACGTAAAATACAAGTTAGAGGTGACATAAATTCTAATATAAACTCTTCTATGTCGTTTCATCTTTTACCCTTGACATTCTCACAAGAAAAAAAACTGCGTGACAGAATAACTTTGAAAAATAGGTCTTTGTTAGGAAGACAGTACTAGTAATTTGTTAATTTATACTTTCTTTTATCCAGGCACTGTCAAATGACAATTGTGCAAATTGGAGCACAGCTATATAATTTAACACGCAATAACACGCTGCTCCATATTAACAGGTATCACGTTACAGTGTTGTGATCACGCTCGACTCTATGTGGACGTTAACTAGGTACATTTGAACTCATCATAATGATCGCGTTAATCTCTCGAGGGGTCAGGAACCGCAGAGGGATCCCGGTCCCGATCCCGATCCCGGGCAAGGATTGTAGGGAAAGGGGGATTCCGATCGACGACGTACCGATGTCTATGGCGAAGGTCTGTGCGTTTTTCAAATTGGCGAACACCTCGACGGCGGGCGGCAATTTGATGCATCGCGGATGCGATCGTTCGTCGCCGTCGATCTCCGCCGCCATCCCCACGTCCTGTACGACGATCCGCTCTCGGTTTCTCCCGCGATTGTGCGACACACTGACACCGTGGCACCTCTACAGATATTTAACGCGACTGGCAGGTGGCGAACGCGCCGATCGAGTGCCAGATAAGCCGCCTCCGATCCATCACCTCCGTAAAACGTCCAACTCGAGCAGGAATTGCGGGAAAGGTTTCCTCGAAGGAGGGGGGCTTTGTTTTTCTCTGTTTTCTCTCTCTCTCTCGCTCCCCCAGGTCTCCCCCCTGTGGAGCCTCGAGATCTATTTACTCGCGTTCAGTCGTTCACCCGGACGGCGCAAGCTGCCGATTTAAAAATGGGTGTCGCAGGTCGCGGAGAACATTTGTATGTATATATACAGATGTTTGTGTACGCACGGTATGTGCTCTGTATCAGGCGAAACGGAGTACGGAGTACGGAGTGGCGGGCAGAGAGACAGAGAGGGGTGAAGCGAACGAATTTCTGTTCTTCTTAGCTCAACTTCTTGCACCGATCATCCTTCCTCCTTTTCTCTCCAACGTGGAGAACTGAGAAATTCAGCTAAAACCATAAATCTATTGTTACGAGAGCAGATATTATTAATATCGTTATAGATGGGCATATAATTTATCATAGATGAATCATCAATAGGTCTGCTGCCTGTAGCTAAACTTTCTGTACTTCTCATTTTTCCTCTTTCTCTCTCGCTAAAGAATAGCGCACCTATTTTATTTCAAGCGCAGATAGTAGGAGAACGTAGGCCTGTTCTTTGTAGTTGAACTTTTTGCATTTTCCGTCTTTCCTCTTTGTCTCTCCGATGCTTGATCGCGCGTGTCCCTTACATTCCAAGTGCAGAAAGTGTAAGTGTTGAGGTTAGGGTTTTCACAAAAAGATGCATTTAAATTACTATATTTGAGGAATTTTATTAAATAATAAATAAATGTGTATCATCTGACTATCTTCCGTCCGAATAGTTCGGACACTGAACCATGTTACCGAACGTAATAAACGTAGTTGGATGTTTATTTAGTGGAATGTTTATTTTTGTCCGGGAGGCGCGTCAAGACACGCGCCAATGGCCATACGTGCTGACACTGGCTGACACGTGCACATGGGATATACACGTGCGTATTTTATCACTTGAAAATTAAACCGCAATCTACTTAACGACGATTGATATAACCAGTGGAATAGTTTACGCAAAAGCAAAAATAACCAATATTATATAGACTATAATAGTTTAGCTGTTTTTGCTTTAGTATTAATAAACTATGGTAGCAAAGTGTTTATTATAGCTACGTATAATCCGTTGTCGTTATTTTAGAGAGTCTTCTTCTTTTAATTTAATGTAATCAAATCTTCTACTCGTTGAATAATAAAATATTTGTAATTCAATATTAATATTGACAAAAGAATGCATGCGTCACTTGATAAAAGTTAATAGAAATTTTAAATTCTAATTTAAAGTATTAAAATAAGATGCCATTTTCAATAGAGATGGCTCTTGACAGTCCAATAATAATAGAAATTTCATCGAGAGATTGTCCATAGAGCCCTATAGAGATATTAGGGATCCGTAAATAATAATGATGTAATATTCTCCGTTGAATTTGTATTGGAATTAGAATTAAAATAAAATTGTCTGTTGTAGAAATACGGTTTTCTAGACTTTTCTAAACTATCAGGATGTCAATAGAGGAAGAACGCGTTCATGTAAGCTCAATCTTGGTATATCTTTTCAAAAATCTTCCAACTTGTCTCGAAAGTTTTGATGATAAACTAGAAACGCAATTGAAAGAAAAAGTTACTCAAGAAATAGATGATGCCCTAATGACGTATCGTACTGTGTATTGCCAGAAATATGTACCAAATTTTGATAGACACTTTCGTAGAAAACAAATTGTTCAGGTATATCTATCACTCCTCAGTGAGGGCAATGCCAAGTGCCCTGATGCTTGGCATAAAGCTTTGAAATTGGAGGCAGACAGAGAAGAGAAATTTCTTAAGAGCACAATGACGAATACGACTATAGAGATGATAACAATTCTTATGGAGAAACTTCAAGTGCCATCAGTACAATGGTGTTTATTTTTGGATATGTTATTGATGTTGAGAAAAAGTGTGCTCGATGCAGGTGGAAACTTTGATTGGTTATAAAGTAAAGTAAAGTAAGTAAATTTACACATTACATGGTAATGACAATTACGTTTATGAAATCGTGAACGAATTAAGAAAAAATTGTTTATGTTGTGTCCGAATTTATGTTATGAATTTGGTTCGCGCATATTATGACCTCTCAGGATCGGTTACGGTTGTGGAATGACAACACATTTTCTGCGGAACAATGTATGTTGTGTTATGAATCCAGAATCGATCGTTTTCACACAAAATTGTGCTGTAAAACACAAACGCACGCGCGCACACATAGTAATGAAAGATGGGATATTAAGTTTCTAATGTCATCTAGAAGTTCCTCTGTGAACTCTCGCTAGTTTTCGAGGCTGCATTGCCAACCCTATAGCTTGGTGTTCTGTATGGGGCCTATAAGACCGTTCTTCCTCCTTTCCTCCAAATCTCTATCAGGCTTAAAAAATATAAAGTCGCAGGGTATATTTTTTGCAAGGCATATGTGATGATCGGAAATTTGAACTTGGGATTCACCGAATATCAGTTGGTCACTTTTACGAGTCTCACACACACACACACACGCGTTACTATTTTCAGTGTAATATGTACATTGATTACATATATATTAGTAAACATATGCATTATTAGAAATGCTCTATAAAATAACAGATTTAATTTTTTTTACATTAAATCAACTGCAATATCTTGTTGAGTGCCAAGTTCTGTATTTTGCTTAAGAAAGCTTGGAATTCTTCTGTTTTGATGACAAAAGAATGGATTTGAACTTATTACTTTGTAATAAATTATATGAACCATATGTACAAAACTTATGAGATACAAATGGAATGTAAAAAGCTCTGAAGAATGGATGCGATCTGTAACATAAATGATAATAGGGCACATCAGACATAAAAGTAACTTTTGTTATTTGCAGTCAGCATATTATAAATATGTGAAACAAAAATTTTGGACTTACTTTGATGCATCTAGGAATTTAGAAGATTTTACAATAGTAAAATGATGATTTAAGCGAGAATAATTTGGTTCTAGGGCTGTTTCAGTTTCTATATCCAGATCTAATAGAAAATGGCATTTATCTAGATTAATCTGAAAGCAAAAGACAGAATTAATAATATGTATATCTATAAAATTTAGTTATAGAATTATTAGTTTATAGGATTTTAGTTTAGATTTAGTTACTTAAGCAACGGATAATATTGTTGCCTGTGTATAAGACAGGTACTTACATAGCGCGATGACTCTTCTTTATTCATATCGTTAAAATGTGCTTGGATTATACTTGTAGCGTTTTCATGATCCAAGAAGGGTTGAGGTAATTGTCCTTTAAATTCGGATCTCAAGTATTGTAACTTCCAACTGAAAAAAAATTCAGCTTTGTATAAGAATAGATAATTGAATCAAATTGGAATGTAAGAAATATATTTTTGTATGTTTAAATTAGGGATGTGTTAAAAAATACATTTCCTCCGACAAGGGAATTTTGCGAACCCAGAAATTTTGATTTTAATGAGACTTTGCATATAAATGAGAATTTCTGGATCCGCAAAGTTTTCTTGTAAACTAATTTTTCCACTTACTTGTTGGACGGAAAGAAAAAACTACTAGGGAAACGATGCCATTCTTTTCCAATACAAAAGTTTATATTAACGTCGTTAGGTACCACGCCTTCCGTTCCCAGTTTGTTAACTTCAGTCATAATTTCCATGGGAGCGTAATATCCTATGCATAATAATAATTTTTATTATATTATATTATCTTTATTGTTATGTCCACGCCGAGACCCGCGCAATTTTCGAAGAATGAAGGGGAAGCCCTTAAGTTACAGAGCGATTGAGAGGATCCTTTTTTAATAGCGAAGAAATTTTTTGTTGTTTAATGTTGTTTAATATTATATATCCGGAAATCGTATGTGCACAGGAATAAAGCAATTCATTTCGATAGATCAGCTTTTCATTTTGAGAAGTAATTAGAGGATTTTTACTTTTTACGGTAACTCGGAACGTAAAAAATTGAAAATATATAAATAAAGTTTTTGATGTAGCTGCATTGTTTTTTTTTACTGTGCATGTGAATTTCTGTTTAGATGAAAAGCTAACGGTTCCTAGAAGACGGTCTTCATCTCGAAGGAAGACTTTCCCGTTCGGACGAGTTTTTGAATGGAACTATTGTGGCACTTTCAAACATTTGAAACCTCTTTGAAAACTTTTATTAAAATTCCAAAAAAAGACTGCCTTTTTCACTTTTGATCCATTGTTTTCTCGAAGCGCGTTATTTTAAAGAGGAGGACGACGATTTCGGAAGATAGGTTTCTGTGAGAAAAAAAAAACTCGTAAAAAAGGCGAAGCAAGAAAAAGAAGAATTTATATCAAACGAGCCCGGAGATTTTGAACCGAAACGTCGAGTCGTACAGACGTAGTTTTATTGCGCTGCGTTGTATCCTGTTCTGAATAAACGTGTTAATTTCCGCAAATGTATTTCCATTTCTGTGTGCACGAGAGTTCACGGGCACGGACACGAGTGCGGGGAGCGGGAATTATGCGAACGAGTCTCGGGCTCAACAATATATTGAACTTTATTTAAACGAAGTAGCCTTATGTATAATACCTTTATATATCGCCAACGATCTTGATAATCCCAAGAGGCCACATGTTAGCATCGCTAGAACGGTAATGTGCACTGTATATTGTAGATAATGGCAACTGATGTGCGATGGATTGAATTTCGTTCTAACATAAAAGTATAACTTCTGTACGATATCCACCGCTATAGCGCCTGCCAAACAAATCATAGGGTACACTGGAAACAAGAACCGTTCCTCCTGTTGACACATTCATTTCGTCAATTCCTCCATTTTCGATTTGTAGGTTGATTCATTATATATATACTAGGAGTACATTTGAACAATCAAAATACCGCGAAAAATAGAAAAATTTTTAGCGTTTATTGTGCATGCAGAAATGTAATGTTCAAACGTATTCAATTTTCTCTGAAAAATACTATTACCAGTATTACTTTATACATACTTTATGTGGCTGAAGGAAGAATACCAGAATCCATAGATACAGGGGAGCCAATGAATACCAGTAAGAAAGACATGAACGGTCTCTTGGACGTGCCGGTACGATTAGCCATACTAAAAACTATAATTGTAGTTAAAATACTGCCAAAATATATCGTGCGTTATACAAGATGTTGCAATTGTCGTGTACTTCTAATTACGTTGATTTCATAATTAAATAACTTTGTTGAATAACTTAAAGATGCATACAATATTTTACTACTTTTACTACAAATTTTAAGAAAATTTTGCTTAAGATTCAAAATATCGATAATAAAATTCGTAAAAAAATACCGTATTTAATCCAACTTTCAGATTAAAAGAGAATTATTCAAATTTCACAAATTCGGAAAACCGCTAATTAGCTTATAGAAAGTGCGCGACTTTTGAGGCATCTTGTACATTTCAAGTATAAACTATTAAAAATCTTACTAAGCCCAAGGGTGCGAGCAACGCGCCAATAAAGACGAAATTGAAATTCAAGAACCCATTGATAATGTAATAACTGAATGGCTCAGTGCCATAAAGATTAGGTCCATGGCTGGTGAAAACATTGTAGAATATGATGTTCAATGGCGCGATGACAAGTTTGCCGAAGTACAAGGAATCCACCCATACCATTGGTATCGCAATTACAACGGCGGATATAATGACCCACTTTATGAATTTCACCCAGCCTCGTTTATGTATTAACATCTCAACGGCGATGGGAAGTCTAAAAAGTGAGACAAGGAAAATAAATTTTTCTCTTTATCAGGATGTGTATCGTGCCAAAAGCACTATGTCCGCGTTAGTATAAAAAATTACCCGAGCAGTGCAGCGAATGGCCATCCAAGTAACGAAGAGATAGCGGTAGCAAAAATAGCCAATTCATATTGGCGAGCATACCAAGCTGCTATAGCAACAGTACTCAGATACCTGTGATAAACAATGATATAGATAAAGTATGTATCGAGAGAGATGCGAATATATTTCTTATTTTGTAATTTTACTTACATCGAAAAAGACGATGGTAGAAATGCAGCACTGGAGATATACATTCCCGAGCTGAGAATAAGAAATACTAAAGTAAGCCTCGCCACATGAATCCCGAATTCGCGAGAGACATTCCTAGAAAACATAAAACATGGTATAAAGAGTGATGCGATAGTGATCCTTGCTATATAAATATGTTAGGTTTAAGGGGAAAAAACGTACTTGTAAAAGTATACTTCAGACAATGTACAACCCACAGACAGGAAGCATCGCGTAAAGTAGAAAACTAGCGCGGGATTTGGATCCAATAGGTAATTATAAATTTTTGCTGGTACCATATGAAGTAGTAAGTACATATACGAACGTAAGGCATATTCAGGACTGTACTCCCACGTTTGCTGGCCTGTTCCGTAGAGCAAGTAATGACTCTAAGACAGGACATAATAGTAGATACAGCGAAATGCATCGCATCGAAGTATATATCTATTAAAAACATCAAAGAATAGGAGAAACTTGTCGGGCTCGTATTGATTCAAATAGCAAAATCGCTAGCAGAAATGTAACAGAATATGATGGTAGATTGATTGCAGAAACCGAGCAGAACCTGTCAAACCTTTTGTAACCACTTAAATGATACCATTTGTAACAATTAAATGATTCTATTTAAATAGTTACGAAAAAAATGACAGATTCTTCTCAGTTTCTGCTGATTTATATCGGCATGCCCTGCTGGCAGGATACAATCTTAATGCTCAGCTACAGTTGATGTCAATCTGCTGCAATATAGCTAACATTTTGCTTACTGAGAATATTTTAGGGATAATATGGTTGTCTTTATGAAAGAAAGAATCGTACTTTTAATATTTCTTAAAGAAAAATCAGATGTAACATGCAAAGTATAGTACTTTTAGGTTTACTATGTTGAAAATTGAGAGTTTATTATTATAAACTTACTGGTTCCCAATAATTATACGTTTCATCACAGTCTGTTATGTGACACCATACAGCGGAGCAAAACCTTGCCAATAGCAGCAATTTAAAAGCTGTATCATAGCTAGGATAAACAAGTCCCACGCCGGAAGACTCTTCTGGCCTGAAACATGATTTAATTATTTTCTTTCTTCCTTCGCTAAGTATATTCGTATTCTAAATACATTACACGTTGCCTAGAGTAGGTCAATTTTTAGAACAGGACCTTACTTTATGGCTAAAGCTCGCAAAGTATAATTATTAAAAGAAATAACGGAGTAATGATGCATAGGACTCTTCCTGATAATCGCTATTTGCAATATTTGGTTAAAAATACAGTAATTGAAATACAAAGCAAGACAAATACATAGGATACAGGATCCATGTTATCTTTTCTTTTGAGATTCAGGAATTTTGTGTACTTTGAGTCGTGGAGATTGAATGTTGATATGAATACATGTTGGTATTGATATTGAACTGCAAAATTAATATAAACTATGTAGCTGAAGTATAGCAGAGAGGATGCATTTGTCGCTGTTGCACATTCATTGCTGCTTCAACGATAAACAACTGACAGGTTAGCCACGGTCCCAGTTGACAAAGCATTTCGTATAACGATTTATAAAATTTAAAGAAAGAAGAGAATATTGTATGTACTTCGAGAATCTCCTTCCATTGATCTTTTTCAATTCTTTCTTCGACAAAATGAGCTGTCGTTGACGTTGGTTAGGTGCCATGATCCTCTCCTTATTTCTCATCTATTTAGGTCACATCACTGCCTATATACATTTATCGATGTGCAAAATCAATACAGAGAGATAGAATTGGAGCCGCGATTAAAATCTCACTCGTATGTTTGACATTTCTACGAATGGAACGAATGATGAATGTACGCGCATCACACGCGTCATTTTCGTGACAGGAAACGAACGAGCAGACGATTATCGGGGACCTCTATGTCCGCTATGTCCATTTAAATTCGAATTTTTGCGGCAAACGCAGCACTTTATCTATTATGCATATATATAATTATTTATACAAATAATTATTTTTTATGCGAATTATTTATCAAGCTTTGCATTAACTTTCTTAATTAAATTATTTTTTTTTAATATGTAGATATTATAAATCTACGTGTAAAAGAGTATTATATTTATATTTATTTATTTATTTAATTTTTTTTTTATTTAATGATAATGATTCCCTTCTCGGGATACATGGTTCTGCTTGCTTAACTTTTCCTTATTTCAATACAGTATTTATATTTACAAAAGATATCTCTACGTTTCTTCGTGTTTTCTTCATTCTTCTTTCTACTTATCTTTTTTTCGTCCTCTCTGTAGTTCTCTCTCACTTCTGCTCATTCTGATGATTTTCAGCATCCATTCCACTCCTTCTCCTCCTTCTGACATTATTGCTGCTGAGAGAGACAGAGAGAGACAGAAAGAGAGAGACAGAGAGAGAGAGAGAGAGACAGAGAAATTGAATTTATAGATTTACAAATTTGCGAAATAGGAAAAACGATGCGAGACATTTTATCTTCATGCGTACACGTGAAGGAATGAATATATACGCGAATATTTTTCTTAGCTAGACACTTGTCATGTAATAATCTATAATATATAAGTATAATTTTCTATACGTTATGTCTTTCAGGATATATAAATATAGATATAAATGTATAATGTATAATTGCATGACATGTACAAAACAGTCGTAAAGTTTCATTATAAAGGATCATTCGTTATGCTATTAAATTGTCAATATATAAAATTGCTAATAAATACTTTCTAAAAATCTTCTACTCGGTGAATTTATTTATATAGAAAAGCCACGCTGAAAAAAACTTCATTTTTTGATACTTAAAAAAAATAAAATTTATTGCAAAAATATTAAATAAGAAATTTTATTTTACTATTGATGCTGTCGCCAAAAAGTTACGATAAAGAGGTACATAAGCGATAAATAAGGCTTACAAATAAAATAAATGACTTACAATTACTTAATATACTTGCAATTAGTGATAGTTATATTGTACAATATGTATAATTATGTAAAGAGAAAATTAACAAACAATCTGAAAATATACAAGATTAAATCTCACAATGAGAAATAAATATTTCAACTTTACATAAAAATATATTCTGTGTTATAATGTATCTTGTAAAAACGAAATATACGATTGTCCGAACAATTTTCTAAATGAAAATTATTTATTATTTTTGCACGAAATATTCGACGTTTTACAACAAGAAATAAACAATTTTAATTTTTATTTTCAGTTTTGGAGCCCGTAACGTGGCACGGCACCTCATACTCCTTCAGCATATTCACTAAGAGTGGGTTGCCTCCTTAACATTTAATTTTAATCCTTATCTTCTTGTTCACTCGGTCGAATGCTTTTGATAGGTCGACGAAGCACATGAAGGCTGGCGAATTATACTTTATTGCTTTTTCTACGATCTGTCTAATCACGTATATCGCATCCGTAGTTGATCTATTTTTCTGATATTCCATTTGTTCTTCATTGTTTTCCAGTTCCATATAAAGCTTTGTTAAGTGCAATTGTGTTATTTGCCATGAACCGCTTTGTCTTTGATCGTTGCGTGGTCGATATCCGTTTAGTCCATCTTGATCCGAGGCTGTTTCTAGTACTTTGAACGGTATGTCGTTTTTTACGTTGGGTAGGCTGCTAACCTGGCCCAACAACCCTCCTCCTTTGCCCGGGCTTGGGACCGGCATCATTCCCGGCCGAACTACTCAGTCCGCCCGGCCGAGTCTGATGGCGGAGTTTATCTTAAACATACTGTTTGTTACAGGATACTTATTATTTGCCTGCAACGATCGCATCTAAGTGCATGTATAATTGTGAAGCTGAATTTTCCTTCGGTTAGATCGTCGCAATAATTTTTATCGTTAATGTCCTTACAAACATACAAGTTGCAATAGTCATTGTGTATTTGGTAATAAAATTCCATTAAATTTAACAGCGACGACAAGTCTTTTTCACAAGATGAAAAAAGTTTCATTAATTTCACCATTAGTTTTACGAGCCAGCCAGCCTCTATAAAATTAATTAATAATGTATGTAATTTAATTTTTGAAATGGAGTTTCTGCTTCAGCAGATAATAAAAGTTATCGCAAAATTATAAACATTTACTTCTTATCACATTTTTCTCGTAATCGTCGTCAGTTGGACACATTAAATTATCCTTTCAATACATGTCCATTCCTCTGATAAATTCCAGCCGTTGCTCTTGCAACATTGAGATACAATATAAGCCCGTAGACTGGCATACATTTAGTTATTCAGTTCCTGTCAATCAGAGAAGAGACATCACTGTTTAACGCAACATGACGGACTCAAGGAAAGTCATACCATTCTATTATTCGCCAAGCGGTGACACGTATATCGCATCCGTAGTTGATCTATTTCTCTGATATCTTATCTGTTCTTCATTGTTTTCCAGTTCCATATAAAGCTCTGTTAAGTGCAATTGTGTCATTTGCCATGAATCGCTTTGTCCTTGATCGTGGTCGATATCCGTTTAATCCATCCTGATCCGAGGCTATTCCTAGCACTTTGAGCGGTATGTTGTTTTTTACGTTGGGTAGGCTGCTAACCTGGCCTAACAGCCCTCCTCCTTTGCTCGGGCTAGGGACCGGCATCATTCTCGGCCGAACTACTCAGTCCACCCGGCCGAGTCTGATGGCGGAGTTTATCTGAACATGCCGTTTGTTACAGTATGCTTATTGTTTGCCTGCCGCGGTCGCGTCTGGGTGCATGTGTGGTTGGGGGGCTGAGTTTTCCTTCGGTCGGATCGTTGCAGTGGCTTTTATCGTTGATGTCCTGTAATAATAACAGATTCAGTTAGTTTAAGTTTACTTAATTAACCCTGGGAACGGACACCATAATAGAAAATTAATAATGAAAATTAAACAAATTACTTACCTTGCAAACACAGGTTGCAATGGTTATTGTGTGTTTGGTGATGGAATCCCGTTGAATTTGATAGCGACGACAAGTCTTTTTTACAGGTGGAAAACGGTTTCATTGGTTTTACCATCGGTTTGGCCGGCCGGCCAGCCTCTGTAAAGTTGATTAATATTGGAATTTTATGTGTGGTTTGATTTTTGAAATGGAGTTTCTGCTTCGGCAGATGGTGGAAGTTGTCGCAGGATCATAGACATTTGCTTCTTGTCGCCATCGTCTTGTAGTCGTTGTCGGTTGGACACATTGAGTTGTCCTTCCAATGCGTGTCCATTCCTTGGTCTCTGCTGGATTCCAGTAATTGTTCAATTAAGATTTTAACTGCCTGTTAATTAAGATATAAAAATAGATAACTTAATTTATGTTGTATTTAACAAAATAATATATTGGCTCGATTTTGTTGAGCTTCGAATTAGTACTGATTGTAATCAATACAGCGCTGATCATAAAGAAATATGTATACAGTTTTATAAGTGCTTAATTGCAAACATGTGAGATTTTTCAAGAATGTTATATCTTTTAAATGTAACTATTATATTATCTACATGTATTCAAATTTATAAAATTAACAACACACATGCACACACATAAAAGTCGATGATGCTTGACAATAAAATGTAACTTACAGGATGGACACGTTGTAGACAATGCTTATTATTTCGTCAGTTTGCCGCAGTTTATCGGGTGATATTTTAAGCCAGTAGTTGAAAGCCAGCGTTTTGTACACCTATGTTTTTCCGTGTCACTGCTTGGCGAATAATAGAAAGGTATAACTTTCCTTGGGTCTGTCATGTTGCGTTAAACAGTGATGTCTCTTCTCTGATTGACAGGAACAGAATAACTAAATGTATGCCAGTCTACGGGCTTACATTGTATCTTGATGTTGCAAGAGCAACGGCTGGAATTTATCAGAGGTAAAGGAATGGACATGTATTGGAAGGATAATTTAATGTGTCCAACTGATGACGATTACGAAAAAAATGCGATAAGAAGTAAATGTTTATGATTTTGCGATAACTTTTATTATTTGCTGAAGCAGAAACTCTGTTTTAAAAATTAAATTACATATATAAAATTCGAATATTAATTAATTTTATAGAAGCTGGTTGGCTAGTAAAGCTGATGGTGAAATTGATGAAACTCTTTTCATCTTGCGAAAAAGACTTATCGTCGTTGTTAAATTTAATGGGATTTTATTACCAAATACACAATGACTATTGCAATCTGTGTGTTTGTAAGGACATTAACGATAAAAATTATTGCGATGACCTGACCGAAGGGAAGTTCAGCTTCGCAATTGTACATGCACCTAGACGCGATCGTGGCAGGCAAATAATAAGTATCCTTTAAGAAACATTATGTTTAAGATAACATATGTACTTTTACTTGACGTAGGAAATTATTTATTAAATACGCATTTACGTTCAAAATTTTTATAATTTATAAAATTTAAATATATATCCTTAATAATGCCTAAAGATATTTTAAAACAACGAACTACGGATGCCGACATTAAATGTTACTGTGTCAACTTATTAGAGAGTTTCGGTTCCTTTAAGTACACGAAGGACACACTTCACGAACTGAACAAGAAGATAAGGATTGAAATTGAATGTTTAGGAGGCAACCCACTTTTAGTGAAGATGCTGAAGGATTATGGGGATGAGGTGCCGTGCTACGTTACGGACTCCAAAGCCTGAAAATAAAAATTAAGATTGTTTATTTCTTGTTGTAAAACGTCGAATATTTCGTGCAATAACTAATGAATAATTTTTGTTTAGAAAATTGTTCGGACAATCGTATAGGGTGAACTGACCAGTGAATAAACAAATAAGCGGCGTCTATCCATTAGAGACGTGAAATAAAATTATTATCCGTATCACTTTCAGCATCGATGTAGTTGATACAATATATCATATTGATTATAAAAAAAATATTAAAGGCGCTTTCAGAAT